TCGTCATCATCGTCATCATCACCATCGTCGTCATCATCATCATCATCATCAGCAGCATCAGCATCAGCATCAGCATCAGCATCAGCATCATCATCATCAGCATCATCATCATCATCTCCACCAGCACGATCATCATCAACATCAGCAGCATCAGCAGCAGCAGCAGTATCATCAGCATCATCAGCATCATCATCATCATCGTCATCAGCATCATCATCATCACCATCGTCGTCACCATCCCCATCATCTCCATTATCATCCTCATCCTCATCCTCATCATCAACATCATCACCCTAATCCTCATCACCATCACGATCATCACCGTCATCATCATCATCATCAGCAGCATCGTCATATCGTCATCTGTATCATCTGTATCATCGTCTCAGCATCATCATCATCACCATCATCATTCTAAACATCAGTCTCACCATCATACGCATCAGCATCACCATCCTCATCACCATACTCTTTCTCCATTTCCTCCACTTCCTCCAACTCTCCTCATCCTCCTCCTTCTCTTCATCACCATCGTCACCATCAGCATCATCACATTCATCATCGCCATCATCATAACCATGACCATCATCATCACCGTCATCATCTCCATCATCATCTCCATCACCACCATCACCACCATCACCATCACCATCACCATCACCATCATCACCACCACCATCACCATCACCATCACCATCACCATCCCCATCCCCATCCCCATCCCCATCCCCATCCCCATCCCCATCCCCATCACCATCACCATCACCATCATCATCATCATCATCATCATCATCATCATCATCATCATCATCATCATCATAATCATCATACGGAACAATTTTCACAATCCTCCTCCCCCTCCTCATCTTCCCCCTCCTCCTCCCCCTTCTCCTCCTCCTCCTCCTCCTCCTCCTTCTCCTCCTTCTCCTCACTCCTCCAGCCCTCCTCCGTCCTCCTACGTCATCGCCTTCAGGAGCTTCACTCCGGGGGCGATCTGGCGACTCTGCGAGGGAGTTTTGACCGGGAGCCCCAGATTGGGACACGCCCGGGACGACTTTTACGACGATGTCTCGAGCAAGACCCCTGGACTGGGACGCGTTTGGTGCGCCTCTGTGCGCCCCGGCGCGCGTCTCAAGGCCTTCTTGTGGAGGCTCAGGAGGCAGGTTTTCCAAAGATGTCCCGCGCGAGAGCACCGGTTGGAATTCGTCGTCAAACTTCCTGGCTTCTTGGGAACGGAAGAGGGCCTCTGAGGGCTTCCTTGGGGAGACTCGGGGAGCCATTTTTCTGAGGATGTCCCACGCGAGGGCGCCGTTTCGGAAAAGTCGCCAAACTTCCGGGTTTTCCCAGAAACAGAACAGGAGGACCTGTTAGGGCCTCCTTTGGGAAACTCGGGGGCCCCGCTTTCTGAGGCTCCCCAACGCGTGGGCGCCGGTCTGAAACTCGTCGCCTGATTCCCTGGTTTTCCCGGAAGCGGAAGCCTCTCCTTCGGAAGGCTCCGCGCGCCGGATTTTCTGGATGTCCGGATTATCCTGGAAACGGAACAGAGGGGGCGGTACCGGGGGTCAGGATGCCGTGAGTTCTCAAAACCAACTCCCTGAAATTATCGAGTCGCACTGCCTCGTCCCGCTCCAGGAGCCACACGGGGTCCAACTAATAGAGGCGTGGTGCCTTTTGAGTCCAAATCTGAATCACTACATTGATCGAAGCTGAAACTGAAGCGGGGCGGAAACAACCCGCTACAGAGACGCGCTCCCAAGATGCGGTCGTGCGAGGTGGTTCGTGCCCCAAACTGTTCCTGTCTGAATCTAGATGTTTCGCGCGAGTTCCAGGTGCAAGCGCCCGCCAATGCGTTCTAAGGGGAGCTCCGCCTCTGCCATCGGCATCGGAAGAGGCTCCTCCCAGACCCCCGACGTCATGATTTTTTTCCGAACGTCGTCCCCTGGAAGTTTGGACCATTCCCCGGGACTGGTTTTTCGCCCCGAATCGTTTTTTGACGCTCCCGAGGCCCAGTGGGCCTCCGGAGGCCGAAAGCAGTGAAAAACTTCGCGTCGTGAGTTTCTTCTGGCGCGAGGGGTCTGGGCTGGGCACCCCACGCTGGAGGCTCGCAGGCTTCGAAGGGCGATCCTGTTGGGTTCTTTCTTGGCCGTCTGCGCCGTCTGCGCGGCCGCCACAGCGCTGCAGTGCAGCCCGCCAGGGGACTCTGCGATAGGCCTGGGAGGACAGCATACATTCTGGGCCGCCCAAGAGGCTCCCAAGAGGCCTCCGAAGAGACCTCCAAGATTTAGGAGGCAACTACTGGGAGGTTGTCGTTGGAAATATTAAGAAGGATTAAGCCCAATTTGGAAGCTATTACGCCGGAATGCGCCTCGGATTAAGCGGGATTAAGCCAGATTAAGCGGGATTAACAGGGATAAAACGAGATTAAGCGGGATTAAGCGAGATTAATCCGGATTAAGCTGGACTTCGGACACCAGTGCAAAATCAGAATTGGACCACCCAGGAGTTGCATCCCAAAAGAGGACTCCGAAGAGACCTCCGAGATGCTCCCAATGGGGCCCCCGAACTGCCCCCCAGGGGCCTCCGAGAGCGCTGCGAAGAGACCCCAAACATAATTCCTGAGTTCTGACCCACGTGAACTTCGTCGTCGTCGTCGTCCTTCAGGGTCGGCGGCACCGGCCGCAAGGCCATCGCAATATGCTATATGTTCGATGTTTGCTACCACTGCAACTGCAGCCATGCATTCCACTCAAATTCTTGCTGTCACTGCAACTGCAGCCATGCATTCCACTCAAATTCTAGGCGCAGTAAATCTGCAATTTCTATACAAGTGCCCATCTGCCATACAGTGTCAACGCGCAAGGAAGCTACAACGGGCTGGTAATCCAAGACGGACGGTCCACTCCATACCTCTCACGCAACATCTTGATACGTCTGGTGTCACGGATGAAGAACCACCGAGACCGCAGGAAGTATTCTAAACGCTTGTCCACAGTCTGGGTCGTGTGCTTGTGTGTTCGAGACCGCTCCCATGCGTGCGTTACATCGAACGACAGACGGGCGCAAAGACGCTAATACAAACCCGTCAGGTGAGTAGCTAAAGTCCAACTGAAGTTTGGCCACAGGCCTGTATTAGCAGAAAAATCTCTCTTGCGCTCCCCGGCCTCAGCCTGGACGAAAAACAGGGGGACACTGACGATGGAGTCGGATCCGGTCTGACTCGTGCACTCCGGCGACACTGCGGTGCTCATGGGCGCACTGAACAGCTAGGGCTCCCAACTTCGCGCTTCGCGCTGCGCGAAGCGCGAATAACTTCGCGCTCTCGCGCCGCCCTCCCAAAGGGAGAATAGGAGGACGAGGAGGAGGGGGAGAAGGAACGAGGACCGCGAAGCGCGAAGCGCGAATAACTTCGCGCCCTCGAGGGAGCCCTTGGAACAGCAACATAACTCTGGCTGGCGAAGTCGAGTCCATGACGGTCGCCGACGCTCCTCGAGAACGATCGCCGCTCTCGGGCGCCAGGAAGGGCAGGACGAGGGGGGACTCGGGGAGCTGCTGACCCGGGTCAATCCAGACCCGGGTCAATCGGGCCTCGCAGGATCCTGCTAGCTAGGGCTCCCAACTTCGCGCTTCGCGCTCCGCGAAGCGCGAAACGCGAATAACTTCGCGCTCTCGCGCCGCCCCCCCAAAGGGAGAAAAGGAGGACGAGGAGGAGGAGGAGAAGGAACGAGGACCGCGAAGCGCGAAGCGCGAATAACTTCGCGCCCTCGAGGGAGCCCTTAGGAAGGGCAGGACAAGGGGGACTCGGGGATCTGCTGACCCGGGTCAATCCATCTCCGGGTCAATCGGGCCTCGCAGGATCCTGCTGGACCCTGCAAAATGCTCCACCCAAACCCGGGTCGATGCGAAGGATCCTGCAACGTCCTGCAGGATCCTGCACCCAAACCCGGGTCAATGAGACCTTGACCCTGCAGGATCCTGCGAGATCGGGCGCTCTGGCTGACCCCCGTTTGTAGTGACCCCCGTCTCAAGGCTCCCGAGGGACTGGGAGACCCCCACCTCCGGCGGATTGATTCTTATAATCCGTTGGTCGATTCTGGGCCACTGGCGGCGTTCGACCCTGAACGCCCACGCCGAGGTCGACGCAGCGACGCCACTAATTGAACCTACCGTAGCGTGATGGTGGACATTGCCCAAGGTGAAGGGGCCCAAGGACACACAAAAAAATACACACAAATAAAAAGATGCCCCATAGTTTCTCATATGTTCTGGGTTTCTGTCTTCCCCCCCCACTTCCCATATTTTCCAATACTTTCCTGGGGATCGACGATGAATTGTGTCTGTGTGTGTGTTTTCCCCTCCCTGACGAGGGGCCGAGGCCCCAAGAGCCAACCACAACTGAGAAACACTGCGACTGGAGAGGTCCATGCGCCGGAGGACTCCTGGTCCCGAGAGGTCGCCAGCGGTCTTCCTCACCGCAGCGGATTGATTCTGATAATCCGTTGGTCGATTCTGGGCCACTGGCGGCGTTCGACCTGGAACTCCCACGCCGGGGTCGACGCAGCGACGCCACTACTTGAACCTACCGTAGCGTGATGGTTGACATTCCCCAAGGGACCGGGGCCCCAAGAGCCATACACAACTAAGAGATACTGCGATTGGAGAGGTCAATCCGCTGGAGGACTCTTGGTCCCGAGAGGTCTCCAGCGGTCTTCCCCACCGCAGCGGATGTCTCTGGAGGCCAGACCTAAGGTAACTTCGATCGTCGGCCTCGATCCTCCTCCAGCAACAACCCGGGGCTCCAGAATGGGCTCCAGAAGGTTGCTCTGTAACAGACGCAGGGGATGAGAGGAGGTCGAATCAGCAACAACCACACGTAGACAACACGACAGTGTGGCGAATAAAACATAGGACATCGGAAGCCGCACATGTCCTCTCTTGACTATATGAAGAACTCGATTGACCTCGATCCTCCTCCGCCCAAGAGCAGGGTCCGCCCTTCTGGC